GGAAAGGGAGCCACTTAACTGCACTTTTTTGTTTTCCATTTACTGTTTACACATTTTGCACCTGGGAGGAGGGAGGCTAAGGCTGGGTCCTCCCTCCTGAGGTTTCTCAGGTGCAATGTAACTAATTTCTTTGTCTCTTCATTTCTCTGCCCAAGCCCTGGCTTAGGGTCTAGGGGGGAGGTTAGAAGATTGTACAAGCATGTGATGGCTCAGGCTGAAGAACTGGGGTTTTAAGTCCCTGCTTTTATCTTGGTGCCTGATTGGGGTGGAAACTGTCCTATTGTAACCCCTGTGAAAAACCTTGAAATATAACCACTCCATGCAGGCCCAGCTGTCGAGGGTTTTCTTGGTGAATGAATGAGGTAGCATACATGATCAAGTAGGAGCCTTGGGCTCCAGACATTATCTGAGGACTGTGGATAAATTACTTCCTTTTATGCTCTTCTCTCTAAATGAACATCACTTAAAGCTCCAACCTTCTAAACTTATCTGCATAAATGGGAGCAGGTAACTCTAAAGGATGTTAGAAGGCAGATCTTAAAATACTCCATCCTAATATGGAGAAGGACTGTAAATGAACAGTTATTAAAAACAAGGTACTGATTTTTTTAGCTTGGACAAGGGAATAGACATTCCTAGCAACCTGAATCCCAGTCACACTTCCAACAGCTTCCAGGTGTATGCATGTGCATCCTTTCCCACACCCCAACCCCCAGTTGACTGCCTATTCTTTACAGATAAATCCTAGGAAAATGTAACCCCTAACCTTTGAAATCAAGGGCACAGCCAGCTTGCTATAGCTACTAGGTCACCTTTCAACGCAGGCTCAAGAGACAATCCAATGAAGGGCTACTGAAATAAATAAGAATGGAGTGGTAAAACAGAAGAAAACATCTTAACTGGAATAAAGGCTTATATTCAAAACCCAAGCAGGGTCCTTGTCCTTTGAGGGATAAAAGGTGCAAAAGTAACAGCAAGACAACAGGAATAAAACCCACATGAATCACTGTGGCATCCAGTTTCTATTCACAAAGAAAAAGCTCCAGTCCATCTTTTAATTTTTTTGAAAAATTCCTGACATTACAGAACTAAACTGAAATGTATTAATATTCCACTCTTACATTTCCATGACAAACAAAAAAAAAATTCATGAGCCAAAAAAAAACACCAAAAAAAAAAAAAAAAAAAAACAGGGAGAAGCTTATAAAACTAAATATGGATCTCAGCATTAACAGCTGAACAGAGAAAGGAATTAAAACGCTTTAATTAAAAAATCACGAGTGGATGATAAAGTGTGTAGAAACTGAAAATTTACAAACTATTTAAAACCTGGAATCGCTGACTGTTCAGAAACTACACAGATGGATCATGGGTGGTGGTGAACAGCAGAAAGGGATTATGGATGAATCTGCATTGTTCTAGCTGCTCCCCATGCCACCCGTCTCCGAAGAAAGCCTGTAACACAAAACAAGAACTCAAAGTTAGTTTTTTTTAATGCCCAGCTGCACCTCAACTCCAAATGTTTCAACCTGATTGGTTGGTGAACTGTGAAGTAGAGTTTATGTGAAACAATCAGTGGTTCAGTAGCAAGGTTTTTTGAATCAACAAGTACCATGTGCCTGTAACCCCTGCAATCGAAGAAACTTCTTGAGGGGAAATTACCTCAGAATCAAAGGAAACTGAGAAGGCTTGGTTACCAAGTGTGGGCGTCCCTCAAACTATGTTCCTCCGGAACCTTTGTAGGAGATGTTAAACACTTTATAGAAGTACACCGTGACAGTAGGTGTATCTTCTTCAAGTCACAAATCACGGAAGCAATGGTTCTTTACTGCCGAGCTTATTTCCAATCCTCCTAAAATACTGACAGAATAATTTAGGAAACATTTATCTGAAAGTAGCCTCACAAAGCTAGTCTAAAACAGCTTTTTATTCTAGAACAGTCCTGGGTTTCTCTATCAATAAAGGCCATTATTAACTATTAAGAGATAATGAAGTTTCAAATGCTAAGAGATGTCAAACAGGTAACAAGGTAACAAGTATAGTAAGGATCAAAAATTATACTCAAGCTATAGTTTTTATGGTTTTCAGAACTTAAAGGTGGAAGCCAAAATAATTTGTTTCAGCAACTCTCTAGAAGCTCCCAAATCTGTGGTCTTAAGACAAACATACCGGGCTATAATGCCTTTGTTTGAAAACATCATTTGAAGCCCTAGAGTCCAATTTTGGGCTTCGAAGGAAAGGTATGTAGGCATTTGGCTTGCTTCACTGATATTAGGTAGCCAGCAAGACTTAGTTTCCATTTTAAAGAGAACTAAATCTTACAACTGAAATTTCAGTTCATAAATTTATTTCATAGACTTTAAAATGACTTGCCTAAGTCAAGGGAGCATGAATATTTTCCCATCTGTATCTCTTCTATCACAATGAAAGCCCAACAAGCTGGCCAGCTGGCTAGAGAGGCAAGAAAAACCAAGGCCAAGATAGATGGGTCTTTCAACTACGAATTAGTATTTTAGTCAGAAATTGTTATTTCTACCTGGGTATAAAGGAGGATATTGTGTTCTTAAAGAGAGTAGATCCTTGACAATGCCAAAATGGGATATCTAGAATAATGTAAACAACAGGCCCTGAATGAAAATTTAGGGGGGAATTGCTGGAAACAGTTTAGATCTAGGACCTAAAAGAAATTAAATTGATGCAAGAAGGTGGTGGCACTATGTCACCAAAGAGTTTAAAAAGAACTGTTCATGCACACAGCCTGAGCAGGATTGGAAGAGGGAGCAGGTATAAGGGAGACAAGGAATAGGAAAACCCAACAAAAATATTGTTAAGGACTCTATGTGACGGTAATCAGCCCCTTAAAACATCTGGATTCCTTCCTAGCAATCTTTCTTTAGGAAGAACTCATTAGGTGAAGAGGCCTTCTAATCAAGAACTAGATAAAATAAAACCAGGTACCTGGGTGGAGATGATTATCAGCAAGATTAAGTCCAAACTAAAGAAAGAGCTTACCTAAGGGAGAACTGGACTACATGATAAAGGAGCAACTATAGCAACTAACAAGAAAAAGTCTATGTGGACAATTTACTAATGTTTGCCCCTCCCATCCCATGCAGACTTGGGGGACATGTAAAACGAATTCATAGACCCAATCTGGGATTGAGGGCCACACCACTAATGTAATATATTGCAATACTCATGAGCAATTCGTTTTAACACTATAACATAAACCAAAGGGACCCTGCCCGGTATGGCTGAATGGTTAAGAGCAGTGGTTCTCAACCTTCCTAATCCCTCGACCCTTTAATACAGTTCCTCATGTTGTGGTGACCCCCAATTTCATTGTTACAAATTGAACATAATTAAAGCATGGTGATTAATCACAAAAACAGTATGTAATTATATATGTGTTGTTCGATGGTCTTAGGTCCCACGACCCCTGTGAAAGGGTCGTTCGACCCCCAAAGGGGTCGCAACTCACAGGTTGAGAACCGCTGGTTAAGAGCATCAGCCTACACACCAGAGGGTCTCAGGTTCAATTCCCGGTCAAGAGCACGTACCTGGGTTGTAGGTACGATTCCTGCCCCCAGTCGGGCACTTTCGGGGGGCAACCAATCAATGTCACATCAATGCTTCTCTCTACCCCTTCCATTCTCTTGAATCAATGGGAAAAATCTAATCCCCGAGGAGTGAGGATTAAAGCAAAAACAAAGGGAATGTGGGAAAAGGTCATCAGGGAAAAAAAACCTCTACACTGGTGCTTTGGGAAGAGCATTATACTTTCATTAGCCCTGTAATTTGTATTCAGGTAGAATGTAATCCTACCAGATGGCTTAAGCCACTATACCTACATTATTTCTAACCTTTTATGGAGAGAGAACTATGGTCTTGGATAAGAAAAATAATAAGGCTTCAGGGAGATTAAGTGCATTTTGAGTTGTTAGTCCTCACTCGTCATCCCTGTGATTTGCAGATTTAAGTTTTCTTAGGGCCTCTATAATTCTCTACACATGATAAATTAAGGAGGTTGGTGGGGAGACAGAAGGGTATAAGCAAGGAATAGAAAAAAAGATAAAGTCTAGTAAATTAGGGATGATTTAGGATGACTGGACAAAATCCTATCAAATTTGGGGAGATGTCACAGGTTGGTTGTTTAAGATTTACCCAATGTCATAGGAAGAGGACTAATGCTAATTCAGAGGAATGCAGACATGCTGGCAAACTTTTGAGACTTAAACTTGCCCCCCCATTCTGGGTAAAGAAATAACTTCTTTGAGTAACCACTCATCAGCAGAAACAAGCCTGGGATGGACACCCGTTACCTGCTGCTTTTGGCAAGGTAAGGGATCTGAGAAATCAGAGAAAGTAATCTTCACTAAGTAAACTTCTTGCCAATTATGGAAGACCCTCTGGATTTAATCTGCCACAGGCCCATCTCCCTTTGTGAGGAATGACAAAGGATTACAAAATTAACCAGGGATACAAAGAGGTCCGGTCAGTTTTATAGACTCCCTAGTCAAGCCACAGGTCACAAGTTCCCACCCCTTTACACTTCACAGCACACAGTCAACTAAGGTTCTTACTGTGGCAACTTTATTATAGCTAGAAACACAAATCTGGCCAAGGCCAGCTGATAACTTAACCATTAAATAATAATAATAAAAAGATTAACGGAGAAGCTTTTATTCATTAACACAGAGCCTAACACATTGTTATATTGCAAGGCAGAATAAAGCTACAAAAAAGTAACAGAATGAGAAAGCAAGAACTGTGGCTCTAGATAAAATATTCAACAAATCAGACTCAGAAACAGGCACTCAGCTGAAATGGCCTAAACCTACACACCGTTACCA